ATGTAGCGGAACCTTCGCGGAATCGCCTTTGCCCCAAGATTTCGCTACGAACGCAAGTGAACTGACGCAATCTGACGCTTACGCAGATAATCTCCCGATGTACTTTCATGGTTGCTAAGTAGCTAATTCCTAATTGAGAAAGTTCTGGGGTAGTGACATCATTTCAGGCTGATTTAGCCGTCTATATAAAAGCCAACTTATCACGTGTACATTTGATAACTGACGTGAGCACTGCCATCTTTAGTTGCTCACCATCAGCCTCTACTGGAGAGATGGTAGTGGGCATGCGAATGCACTTCTACACTCTGACTATTCAGGGAATACAAGAGCCGAACACGAGGACTAAGCTCCTAGGACAAGGCCATCCGAAGCCCGAGACGTGTGTTTAACAGGAATTAGTAAAAGGAAATAATGATATTGCCTTCCCCCCTAGGCAGCTTCCGACCTAATTTAACCTATTCGCAACCAAGACGATGTCCAAAACTGGTTGTGAATATGATATTATTTAGTCAGGAAAACGGTCAGTGGTGGCGCCCATGGTCTCAACTATGTAATATGGTGATAACCTGTATCAAAGTAGTATAGAGACCCTCCCCCCTCGCCTCTCAGTTGCCTATAAAAACCTACGTTTCTGTTTGCTTGGAGTCCTTCTTCAGAATTGGTTTCACCGTGAAACTACGAAAGTCGGGTGATGGACTTTTCAGAGGCTGCTCTTGTGATACAACTTCGACATCAATCTGAAATTACAAATAAAATAACAAATAGCACGATAACCCTTCAGGGTTCATAAATAGCTTCGCAAAACTTACAAAATCACTGAAGGACACTGATTTCCGATTGGACGAATTGGGACGTGTATCCATTGCCAATAAATCCTCCAGTGAAGAAGTATCTATGTCGGAAAGTCTGAAAAATTAATTATATAACGAGTAAGCGATGCTTTTACACAATGGATGTGTGATATGTGGCCGGAGACAGCAAAAAATGTTCGTTAAATCGATTCCGGCGCAATCGGAAATGCCAAGAATTTTTGTCACCCTGCATAATGATCATTGTGGTTTCGATTTATTCATTTAGCTTTTCTTTAGGAACACTTTCATATTGTTAATCCTTAAATGACGGCTCCTATCTCTCTTACTCCAGTGTTGTTTGACACTAAACTCTAGTCATGAGTAACCTATATCCTTCACCAGGGCCTAGCTTAAGTTGCGAAAAACAGCAGAGGAGTTGTCATTTGAAGAATCATCAGTGCTCTTGAAAAAACGTTGTCACGGTGGCTGATTTTGTCCCGTTTTAGGCGTCCATCATTCACAGAATCCCAGTACGGGCCGTATTTTGGTTAATGGGAAAACACCGGTTCGCGAGCCACAGACCACCGACTAGGTGGGGAAGTAAAACCAATCGAAAATTCTTTCATGCAATCCCACCTAGAGGGAGCTACCCTCCCTATCCCGTAAATGGAGAGGGCGTGATGGCGTATGGCATAGGATATCTTTCTCGTAGAACCTTCAGGACATCTCTCATCGAACAAATGTCCCGGAACGAAAACCATCCACTGGAAGCGCTCAAATGTGCGATTAAAGTGTGCAGTTAGACATTCTCGATCTCTGGAATATGGGGTGGACTAGTTATCCTCCCTACGCTCGGCTTATCAGTATGCATAGATAAAGACTGATTAGTAATATAAGTCCTAGCTTGCAGGTCAACGGTTATCTGCCAATATCGGCCTATCCGCGGTTCATTTCACGCGAAATTTTCAGATCTATAGCATTCCAAAACGTCAATCAGCACATTGCCCTCGTGGTGCTAAGATGGAGGCACAGCGCAACACTGCAAAGCAACTGCGGGCTCCAGTCTCGTCTTGGGCCATGCGTTTCCCTTCCAGCTCAGTATATTAATGATAACATCCCAAAGGCGTTGTGAAGCTCTATCACAGTCAGGTTATTGCGCTAGGCCAACCATTTAAGTGTGCGATTCCTGGCTATTAGAACAAAAAAAACATTCAATAGAACCCTGTCATTCTCCCAGCATTGAGCTATGAAAAAAGGAAAACTGTTCTAGGAAATGAAATTTATACATAAAAGTGGCGTTTTTGTATTGAAGGCGGTACCAGAGAATCAAGTGACGTCAAAATTCAAATTCGAATATTCAAATGCAAAACATCGCCGTTACATAGGTTGATATGCAAGCATCCACATGAATGCTCCCTGAGAGTAGTTTAACACTGCGGAAAAACTTTATGGGCTATTCACCGCTAAGAAACCTGCGCTATGGCTCTACAATCTACTGATGAGGAGTTTGGCTTCAGTCAAGTGCATAAAATAGACAATACAGGGCAAAATGTCGGAATAGTCAAATTGATAATGTTTCAAAGATTCATTAATTTTATGAAACTCACTGTTCCTTGAAATCCGGCAAAGAGACATCTGTTTCTGGAGTGTCATGCTCTAAAACCACTGTTGGCGGTGTTGGTGATGGAGCTGTAGATGTAGCTTGATCAAGCATTTCCTTTCCTATCGCGTAAACTTGGTTGTCCAACGATGGCGTAGTAACGGTAGACTTGTCACTTTGTTCCTTCTTATAGGCAGTAGCTTCATCGTCCCGCCCTTGACAACGGATGACGTCGGTGAGATCAGCTGTAGACGTCGACTGATCCGTAAGCCGATTCTCCAACGCCAACGGCGATGGCCTCTTCGCTTCTGTAACAACACAAATCCAGAAAAAGATGTGCAGAAATCAACGAAACCAGTTGCCTTGACAGCAGTTACGCAATATTCTAGGATACAAACAGTATCTATTTAGAGCGCCCTTTCACGGCTTACGGCCTCAGAGAGTCTTCTCAAAATGAGAAGTAATTAGTGCACTTATCAAAGGCACACTTCGTTACACTCCAGTATATGCTGTAGAGCTCGAGAATGAAGTTCGAGCTACTTCTTGTCCCGCACACCAATGGAACGACCGAAAGCAAACTCCGATTATTTCGAGAAATAATTTTTTGCAAGCTCTATTTGCCAAGAATAAGGGTGACACTCCGCAAGCCTCCAAGTTAGTGCTGGCGCTTCACTACAAGTTAAAACTTCTAACGGAACAATGGTGGCGACCCATATCACGGCAAATAGGGTTCTTATTAGAGGCGCACTGTGGTACTTCTTCTCCAGCAACGGAGCGACGGAGAATGTCTAAAAAGCCTCAAAGTACTGTCTTGATCTTTATGGCAGTTTTTAGTGAATATAAAGGAAGCGCGTATATCAATA